CCCCCCCCCCCCGCCTCCCCCCCCCCCCGTGCTTCTAAGTTGACCCTAATGTTTGGAATAGAAGAAACTAGGGTAGCCGGAAAAGTCGTGAAATAGAGTAATACGCTTGGAGGACTCATACTTTTGGATTTCAAGCTTCCAAGCAACACCCATCGAGGCAGTGTGGTAGAGGCAGAAAGCAGACCTCTGGACCCTGGGACAGGGTGGGAACCCAGAGGTAAATCCTGCTGTGTGTGACCGAATGTTGTACCTTAGCCACCCCTGGGGAAGAGGACTCACTTCAACAGAAAGTGCTGGCACAACTGCTTGGAGGACTCATACTTTTGGATTTCAAGCTTCCAAGCAACACCCATCGAGGCAGTGTGGTAGAGGCAGAAAGCAGACCTCTGGACCCTGGGACAGGGTGGGAACCCAGAGGTAAATCCTGCTGTGTGTGACCGAATGTTGTACCTTAGCCACCCCTGGGGAAGAGGACTCACTTCAACAGAAAGTGCTGGCACAACTGCATATTCATGAAGCTGGAACTGTCATTAACATGAAGATTAACTCGACATACAGCTAGTCTTAAGTTTCAGAGAGATCAAACTGCAGGCAGGTGTGGTGGCGCACATCTGTGATCCCACGAGCCGGGAGGCTGAGGCAGGAGGACTGCCAGTTTGAGTCCAGCCTGGGCAACTTACTGACACAGGGAGACTTTGCCTTAAAAAGGGGAGAGGGCAGGGAACTGCCGCTGTGGTCAGTGTGAAGGCCCTGGGTTCAATCCCAGTACTGTGAAGAAAAAACACCTAAACAATGTGAGTAAATCCTTGTGAGCTTGGTCTCGCTAAACTTTTGAAATAAGGAAACGATAACCTGGCTTCAGCAAAATTAAACTTCTGTGCCACATGGACAGACACCATCAAGAAGGGAAGGCGGTTCACAGAGTGGGCACTTCACACCCTGTGTCGCTACCATCGTAAGACGCTCTGTCCATGTCATGTGTGGGTGTGGGTATGGAGATGCCAAAGCCTCTGCTGACCACTGGCGGGGACGTACAGTGGTGTGGCCACTCTGGAAGAGCCTGGCATTTCCTCAGGAAGACAGAATGCCCACGTCTTATCAATTCTCTTAGGTACAAATTCAAGAGCAATAAAACTTTTTTCAGTCTGTCCACAAATGTTCACAGAGACATCCCTTCTATTAGTCAAGCAGTGGAAAAACTCAAAATGCCATCATCTGATGAGCACATAAATCAACCAGGGCCCACTGATACACTGGCATATTCTCATCCAAAAGAAGGAGTGAAATATTGGTACCCGACACCATACGACGACCATGGCATCCGCCAAGCTAAAGGCGCCCGTCTCAGCGGCCATGCTCACAGGATCCCGAGTATCAGAACAGATACATCACGTATAGTTTTTTTGGGAGAAAAGCTCCTCTAACACGTCAGTCCCTCGCAGGCTGAAGAGGCGCAGCTTGGTGCCCTCGTCCAGAGGAACTGGCTGTGTGACAGCCACAGCCAGGCACCTTGTGTCTGACAGGGCCACACAGAGGTCCCTGAGGAGGCCCAGCACTGCCTCAGGAGGGAGAGGAGGACCAGAGCAGCGGCAGCGGTGCCTGACACCGCAAGCGGCCTAGGTCAGGGGCTCCTATCCCTCTAGCCCAGCGGCTCTCTGTCTGGCCTTCAGCACCCATTAGTAGCCTGAAGAGATGGCAACTAGAAAGCACGAGTGACCATTTCTGTCTGTACTGTGAGTATTCAAACAGAGATAAAACAGACCCAGGAGGAAAACAGCAAAGAGAAAAACTAAGGCACTACTTTCGGCTGAGTGTGTTAGGAGACAATGAAACCACTTAAGTAACCAGGCAGAAACTTCAGTCACTGCGCAGTGTGGCGTTTGGATGCCAGTGACAAGAGCTCTGTGCCTTGCACAAACACACACCATGGCAGGCCAGGACGGTCACAACAGACCGGCTCCGGTCACGGGCAGCTGAGTGACTTTCGGAGCAGGAAACTCCAGGATCACTCACTGCGGGGCAGGCTGAGGGGAGTTTCAGCACACTTAAACTTTCCGAAGGACAGATCCAGACCCCAGAGACAGCAGTCGGCAGTCAGAGTCTCAGAGCGCCTCTCAGCCACGGCTATGGCAGCTTCCTCTTCACTCACCCGTGCTGCTCTCCTGTGACGCGACCATGAAGACAATCCCACTCTTTCAGTTTCTACCGGCATGGCAAAGGGCCGATGCTGTTACATTTTTAGAGAAAATTGTGGCAAATGGAAATGCAGAAGTTTTTCTAACAAATCTAACCAAATTAACTAGTGCTCTGTACTATTTTTCTCCAATGTTGCACTCTGAAAGTTTCAAATGTGTAAAAACTGAAGGAATGTGTCAGAGACTCCCTGCACTGTGGTAGCCCTACGGGGACTGCCGTGTACCTGTCCCTCACGCCATCGTACTGTCACCACCAGAGCGCGTGCTGTCAGTTCCTCCGACACACGCAGTATACAGCGCCTGCAAGTTGTCATCAGCAGTCCGCTTGCTGCGCTGCCAAGGAGCACTGGGTTGTGCAGTCTATGCACCCATTTACCCTAGAGCCGGCTTCCAGGGTGGAGTCACAGTGAGCACAGCCCACTGTGGGCGCCCCACGCCCGGGTCGAGCCATCACAAGGGCGGGAAAGGCTGGCTCACGGGCTCCAGGGACAGCTTTAAAGGGAACCGCAAGAGTCTTCCCCACAGCCACGCCACCTAACCTTCCAGCAGGGTGTGGACAGCCCTATGTGCCTGCGACATTGGGCGCTGGGCCCTGCTCTTCTTCAGGGTGGCGGCATCTGAGTGTGGCTGTGTCGTTCCCTGCCCCGGGTCGCCTTCGCTTGTCCACACTGCCCCAAGAGTCCCCAGAGAGCCCTCATCTTTCTCACAATCACTCTGCTCTCTATTCTTCGTCTGGCTCACCAGTTAGGTGGGTTCTCTCTCCCCACTGCCGGTTCACTTTCACAAACTCGCGCGTATCCCTGTGTTCTCTGCCGATTCCCCTCTACAGACCCACCACAGACACGCTCTCCTTCACATTGCCCAGTGCTGCTCAGCAGCTGGGTTACCTCACAGTTGCTCTCAGCTGATTATATTTTGTATTAAGAATGGGTTATATTTTTGCTTTTTGTTTATCCATTTTGATTAAATATCAATGAATTTTACATTTGAATCCTAGATGTTGGGACCGCTGTGCCGTTAAGAGCCTGGACTCTGTGTATCTCCAGGGTGTGGACTTGTTTCCACACACGACTGAATTCTGAGGCTCTATGGGCAATGGCATCGCCCCTCTCACTGCAGCCACTGGCGCCTAGGCTGAGCAGGCAGAGCGCTCTGTGACCACGACATAGGTCCCAGGCCAGCCAGCAGCAGATGGTGAGAGAGCGAGCAGACAGGCAGCGGTGGCCCTCTGTGCCCTGCCTCGCTTCTCTCACTTTCCTGCACCTCGCTGCCCCAAAGGTCATCTCTAAACCAGAAAGACAGTGGGCTCTGGAGGGAGACTCTGGCTCCCTGGGCTGCTTGCAGCTGAAATCCATGAGTAGCGCGGAGGTCGGCCATGTGCCATTTCCCCTGGAAACTGTGTGCTGACAACCATTGAGGTTTTCAATGAAAACATTTTAAGTTTTAGACACTCCTCAAGAGAGTGTGTTATCTCTGGAGGGACGGTGCTTCTTCAGCTTCGCGTATGGGAGGGGATGGGGCCCTCGAGGCCCAGCACACGCACAGCGGGAGTCAGCTGTGATCATGGAACCCCAGTAACCAGAACCCACTCCAGCAGAGAGTGAGCACAAAGACAGCTCCTTTCGATTTCCATGCACACTGAATGGGATGCTTTGTGAAGACAGTGAGAACATGCTATAACATTTTTCTGAGAAGTATAACGGAGTAAAGATAATTTCAAAATCAGAAAGTGAAAGGAATCTGCACTCAGGTGATTTTGCAAGTTTTTAAGGCTCTTCGCTATGTTAAAGACTGAGAAGCACTGGGTCCCACGGCTCCCAGAGAGTCCAGGCGCAGAGAGCCCTCTGCAGCGCCCCACGCTCTGAGTGAAGGCCGCAGCACACCCTGCTGACTGCTGACTGCGCAGTACCTGCAGGGCCCCGTTCCTGCTGAAGGACGCCACGCACTGCATCAGGCGGCTCAGCTCCTCAGACACCGCTTCCACCACCTTGGACAGCACCCGAGGCACCAGCTCCTTGGAAACGGTGAACACCTGAGGGAGGAGCGTGAGGGGGCGGCTGAGTGATAAGGACACCAGGGCTGCCCTGACTGCAGCTTGTTAAAAACGGAGCGACACATGAAATGAAGTCCATAGGTTTTCAAAGTCCTATTTTAAGAAACCAAAGTTATGAATGACAGGGAGACACAGACTTGTACTTCAATTATATTAACAGAGTAATGACAAAACAGTTCTCTTTAAAAATACAATATTGGCAAATGGCTTTGAAAGACGTATTGTTGATGGGTACAAACTAAAACTTTGAAGATTTCTTCTTGCCCCTTTTATAAGAAAGAAACACTACTTCTAAAAAAGAAATGAAAAAATACCCTCTGGATAAATACGCAACAACAACTAAAAAACTACTGAGCTGGGCACAGCACTGTGCACCTGCCATTCCAGCTTCTTGGGAGGCTGAGGCAGGAGGAATTCACACCCAGCTAGGGCCATGCAACCAGAACTGGTCTCTAAAAAACCCCCAAAACACACACACACACGCACGCACACACACACACACGCTGGGTCTAATTCTCCTTATACACACCCCTGCACACTGGGCTCACCTGCTGAGTTCGCATGCTACCCAGTTGTATTATGTGCTGCACTCTTTTCATTTACATACAACATTATCATCAAACAATGAAGTTTGCACCTTTCAAACTGAGTTATTATATATGTAATTTCAGTGAAACATTTCACTCTCCTGATTTATAGTCATATTTTCTTGATAACTTCCTGTTTTTTAGATTGAGCCATTAATTCTTTTGAGTATCAATTCCTTTGGGTCAACCCAACGTAACTTTAGCATGTAAGAAAGTCTTTGGTAATTAGATCTCACAGCAAGCAGTAACTATTAGAAATACAATTTTACTCTCAGTCGTTGGGTTAAAATAAAACAGGACTGAAAGTCTTATTTATAAACGATGTCACTGTAATTGATCAGCAGCTCTCTCACATGTTGCCCACGTTGCCACCAGCCCTGAGGGAGACTCTGCCTATATGATAAACTCCTACCTACGTTAAATGAGGCAAACTGTATTTTCACAAAGAAATCTATTTTACTAAGAAATGAAAACTATAGCTCTCCTGCTGGAGTTGCTTCAAACTTGGGCCCCAACTCAGGAATCAGACAGCCTTGTGTTCACTCACTTTGCTGTTCTTCCTTTCTGGCCTCAGCTCTTTCTTTTGGTTTTTGCCGCTGAGCTCAGCATAACCCAGCAACCTCTCTGGATGCAGGCGGTGAGCAGGCCACACTGCTGAGGCTCTTACCTGGAACTGCTCTCTGCCCGCCTTATCTGGCTCCCGTCAGTGTGGACCCCACCATCCCAGGGCTGGCAACGCTGAGAGTGGCAGGCTGAAGGCAGGCTTATCTGTGCTCTGCTGTTTCTCTTCCCCCAGCTACCCGAGTCTGCTAGGGATGTGGAAGACTGCTCACCTCAGCATGGACAGCAATGACATTCACCAGAGCTTCTTTCAAGTAGTTTCTGACACCTGAGTCAGGAAAAGGAGGAAGAAAGGCATTGAGTGCAAACACAAGCAGTGTTCATGTACCTCTGCCACTGCTCAGGGCAGGGAGAGAAGTAAATGCCACCACTGTCTGCTTCCTCCTGGAAACCAGACGGTGAAAGGGCTATTTACATGCAGGTTAAAAAAGAGATAAATTAAGAGTTTTCCTTCATTGTGTCTCATTTCTACTGCGGTGCACTTTATTAATTTTTGGTCCACTGGCCTCAAAATTAAAATTTAGATATGGCCTTCCATTTCTTCACACATATATGAATAAGAACAGAAGTTATAGAGGACAGAAGGAGAATATTTAACAAAGGAGAGTTTTAGCAAGGCATGGTGATGTACACCTGCAATCCTAGCACTCTGGGAAGCTGAGGCAGGAGAATCACAAGTTTGAGCTTAGTCTGGGCAACTCAGTGAGACCCTGTCTCAAAAATAAGCAAACAAATAAATAGTCCTGGTGATGTGCATTAGTGCAAAAACCCCGAGTTCAATTCCCAATTGTGCAGGAAAAAAAGCGGGGTATGTTTTATATCTAATAAAAAGTATGTTGAATGTCCACCACAGCAACTGATAGTACTTCCAAAGTTAAAACTTAAAATTATACACAGAATGACCATTTTGACCTTGAGGATTCCCTCTGAGAAAGAGCTCACAAAACCACACTGAACCTGGTTCTGTAAAGCATGGGTAAAATACAAAAGAAAAGGCCCCAGATTTTAGGCCCAGGATTAATGAACACTGCTTTCCCACAGCTGTGCCCATGGTTCCTGGGTTCGCCTTCTGAGGTCACCCAGCTGTGACCCAAGCCGGTTCCAACACCCGCCGCCTCCCTGGGCTGCTGGGAGGACAAAGGGCTCTTCCATGGGCAACCAGAACCATAACGACGGGCGCCTCACCAAAACTTCTAAAAAGCCACTTCCATGCAGAGCAGATGGTTAAGGGCGCCGCCTGGAGCTGACCACGCTCAGCAGACACCCGGTCCTAAAACTCCAGGTGCCAACAGAAATGGCGTTGAGCACAGCCTTCTCTCGGAACGCCACTGTGCTCCTTCCTGGCAATTCAGGAAAGCTGAGGCCGAGCCCACCAACTGTCATCAAGGTTTGGAACAGGCATTAGCAGACTCTACTTGACTGGCTTTGACGCTGTGCCACACCGTGGTGCGCGAACATACACCATGTTCCTTCTGAGGCACCAGCTACATATTTTTCTGGGAGAAGCAGGTTTGGATGCTGTCAATTCTATGCCGAGGTGCAGCTCAGAAAGCTGATTGACAAGTAATTATAAAGAAACTGATTCCATGCTGGGTGTGGTGGCTCACGCCTGTAATCCCAGCACTAGGGAGGCTGAGGCAGAAGGATCGCTATGAGTTCGAGACCAGCCTGGACTACATAGTGAGTTCCAGGTCAGTCTCAACTACATAGTGAGACCCTGTCTCAAAAAAAAAAGAATTCCTTTTAAGCAAAAGGATGGGCAGGGGAAGAAGCTTCATGTGGGAGGTAGGACAGACGACGCAAGAAAAGCAGCTAACTTCCGGTCTAGAGGGGTCCCCGGGCAGCTGCCCCTCCACACTCTGGCTCCATTCTGTGGCCACTGTTCACTGCCTCAGGTCTATCCCCTCACATGCAGTCTAGGGGAGGAACAGCTCCTGGCTACTGATGGATCCATATTTCTAACTCCAGGTCCCTGAAACAGAAGCCCAGTATCCGACACCAACGATGCTCTCCAGAACTACGAGTGAGCAATTTGACAGTCCCTGTCCTTGGTGAGAACCAGATCCTGCCAGTGCCACTGAAGGACGAATGTCACAGGAGTCCGGGTTCTCATTGTGGCCTGGAGGTGACAGCTGAACTGGGAGGTGCTTTTCCTACTCTTAAAATTCCTCAATGTAAGAGAAGAACGGGGCTGCGTACTGACTAAAATGTCGAACTCAGACACAATTGAGCCATGGTCATGCGCTCCGTGACATTCTGCTCTCAGCTCAACTCCCACTCTGACCCAGATAGAAGAACTGTTTCCTGGTAAGTGCCATCAGACTAAGCATTACTAATGCAACACCCTTTCAAAGAGCCACGTCTACACTAGGCACACAATCCCACAGACACAGCAGTGAGTACCAAGCATAAAGGCAAAGAACACTTTCAACCCAAAGACTGCATTTCTAGTAGGACACGTGGAAAAATGCAAGCTTCCTATGTTGGGTTGACAACAGGTTTCACATGGGTAGCATCTCTAGTATGAAGCACACAGCCTTGGAAAAGGAAGAGAAGTTTGTATTTCTTGGAGACTGTACCCTGTATGAGCAGAAGATAAGGAAATAACTGCTCTGCCCCTCACTCAACAAACCTTTTCAAGGGATAAGTGGTAATACTGGGAAGACAAAGGGGAAGACGCACGGCCCCAAGGGTGGAGAGAAATCAGGCCCTACCCAACCTGTGTGCCCCTGGAGGGAGGCCCTACCTAAAATCACAGGTGTAAATGCAGAGGTGGGCCCACTACTGCCTGGCCCTCCGGGAGTCTCACGCGACTGCCTGTTCATCCTGCAGGGAGGCTGGGTTTCCAAGCATTCAGTGTACAGTTCGGCACTGTGAGTGGACCCCACTGGGCTCATGCAGAGGGGGGCAGGCAGGCTGAGGTCCTCCGAGAAGCACACACAGACAGCCCCACAGGCAGAAGGCCCAAGTGCTTAGTTTTAATTGTGACCACAACTTAGGGTATTCATGTGCGTTTTTTATGTAATACATATCACAGGTGGTTGTGTGAAGGAGTTTTATATAGTCTAAAAAACCTTTGAACTTGCATTTACAATAATTTGTGGAACACAAGACTGCAGCCTTTACTCTGTGACATCCTTAACTGGCTGAAGAACCAAACGTGCATCAGGGCAGAGCCCTGGAGGCCGGTGGGGCCCCTGCCTGGGTCACTGAGGAGCTCTCCTGGCCTTCCCAGTTCAGTTTCATCCTTTTCTCTCTCTACTTGGTCACAGCTTGGGAGCAGCGGCTGCCTGAGTTACCCCATCTGAGCCTTCCACAGCTAGACCTATAATGCAGGTTCACAGACCCTCGGTGTTTTATCCACTGTCTGAGACTGCGCGCTGTCCTCCGCCTGCGGAACTCTGTGCCTTAACAGCTGCAATCTGACAGTGAGCAGACGCCCAAGGCCAGGTACTGGTGGGAACTGGCCAGCGAGCATGTGGTAAGGACTTCACTTGCTGCAGAGGATGGCACACTGAGGCTGCCTTCACCACAGCTCTGAAACTGCCGACTTCATCAAAAGTGGACTGAAATCACTCAGCAGAATCTGCAACCCCATTGACGGGGACAGACTCCGCTCAGAGGCACGGCTCATGCAGGGGGTATGCTTCTGCACAAAGGCCCGGCACATCCCGGGGTGTGTGTGTGTGTGTGTGTGTGTGTGAGCACGCATGAAACTGCAAGAGGCAAGACCAGGGCTTGGGGGTGAGGTGTGGTCCCACCTGTGTCCTCTGCGCCAGCACTGATAGCAGCACAGCCTCCTGCTTCAGCAAGGGCTGGGATGGAGACATGGATGGACAGACAGACACTGCCAGAGTCACCGAGGCCACACAGAGCAGGGACACGAACACCACTAACCTCAGAGGAGCTCTGCGGAGGGGCTGGCAGGCTTGGAATGTGACTCTGAGGGCGGGGTCTGGGCTGTGACTGTAGGTCATGCTGAATGGAATTTTGCTGGCGTAGGTTTCTCTTCCCACTGCATTTTATTCTAACGTCATGAACTTCAATGACTGTTACTTTTACACATCCACTGAGGCGACAGAAAAGACACATGGGCTCTACACTAGCTCATCTGCAAACCAATTCTGGGACTTAAGACTGCTCAGGTCACCTTTCTAACGGCATCCAGCTCCGTAAGTCGTGGAGACCACAGCCTCTTCCTGACAAAGACACGGTTAGTGCTTGGTCCTGCTGCTCTCCTCTGTCCCTGGGCACCGCCAGGAGGTGCTGTGTGAGAACTGGGGGCACTGTCCCGTCTCGAGGACACACGGCAGGTGCTATTATTTTTTTAGATAAATCATAAGCAGTTGGCTAAAAGGCACGATGTCGAGAAAGACTACACGAATTCCCTGCTTGGAGGCTTGTGGTCTGTCAATGAAACCCACCAGGACCAGCACAAACTGTGAGTAAGCTGTGAACTGTGCAGGTCTTTTGGTGGCACAGGCATTGCTAAGCACAGAATCTGCACGAGACCACAGCGTGCCGCCACCAGAAGTGTGTCTTCGCTAGTTCTCTCCTGGGTCTGGTGGCACACGGAGCTCTGAAGGTGGGGCTAGAGTGGACTCCGCCGTCACACTCTGCCCTGGCTTTGATGAGAACGGTGAGCACCACTGCAAGAGACGGACAGGGGCCGCTGTGCACCGTGACAGGGGACACAGGCAGAACTGAACTGTGACCTCAAACGCATGAGCACCGACCAGTCAATCTGCAGGACATGGTTCTGAGCTGCTCTGATGCGTCACTTTCTCCTGGTGAGTCAGAGGAGGCTGAGGAGACAGCGCCAGATGGCATGCGCGAACAAAGGGCCACCATGCGCAGCCCGCGGCAGCTCACACTCGGCTGGTCCGGCCCCACCTCTGCTGGACCTGGCTCTACGAACGTCCTATGTGCCCCTTCCTTGCCTCTGTATCCCCTGACCTGTTGCACTGGCTGGCATGAAAAAGTTCAGAACGCATTTATGAACGAATGAGTGAAAGGAGACAAAGACTGGGTTTGTCTCAATCACTACTAAAATGCTTGCACTGAACCACATAAACTGGTACGTGAGTGGCGGGTGAACGAATGCAAAGCTGAGCAGCATCAGCCCTGCGATGACCCGGGGGCCCTGCCAGAAGTGTGTCTCTCATCTCACTGGTGAGGAGAACACAGTCTTTTGGAGAGCATGCATCAAGATCCATTTTAAAAATACAATCTGAGTAAGAGAATATACAGAATAGAATGTTGCTGAGG